GACTCTCGCTAGAATCTATAAAAACCCACAACGTGGGACTTCTAAACATAGCAGAAGTCAATCTCCCTCTAACCCTTCTTCTCAATATATCATACAATTTCCTTGTTGAAATTCTAAGGGAATTTCAGTTTTTGCTAAACTCTATAATTCCAATCTTTGTTGTATCTTGGAAGTGATTTGTCTGGAACCCATTAGAAAATTCTATTGAGTGGGGGCAAATATCACTTTAAGGAAAATGTAGTAATGTGCCTCAAAGCCAAATTTTCTACTATTTTGTCTTCTTATTTGTTTGGATAATTTTCATTTTACTACGTTGAGGTTTATCGAGTTTCAACCTTCCATACATCAACTTTTTTTCATTTTAGTCGCATACATAATGTTTACTTTCATATCACTTTCATACCTCCGTTAGTATGACCGTCATCTTTTCCTTTAAATAATGTTGTCATGTGGAGTCACCCACATTTTTGCCACGTGGACTAATTAATTATTTAAAATTTTCAATATATAATGTAAAAACATATTCTTTTCATATCTCAAATAAGCACTGTTACATGGGTTTTATATAGTCTGTTAGTGGTGTAGGAGTTACAAAACGTTTACAACATAATTGTAACAGACAACTATGCAATTATAGGCATTAACAACTATAATGGAAAACTGCATTGATTGGCCTTTACTGTCAAGAACGTTGGGGCTGCCTAACACTCCCCCGCAAACTTGGCGGCGGAGGAGAGACAAGTTTGGATACCAAGCGAGCAAAGCGATTTGTAGGAAGACCTTTGGTAAAGACATCGGCGAGTTGATCAGCAGAGGGGATGAATGAAACTTTGTGGCTACCGAAGGCAATGCGTTCCCGAACAAAGTGATAATCAAGAGCAACGTGTTTCGTGCGAGCATGGAAAACAGGGTTGGCAGCCATCTAAGTCACAGAGAGATTGTCACAATTGAGGAGAACCGGTTAGGAGAGCGAGAAGTTTAATTCGCGAAGGAGACCTTGGATCCAAATGGTGTCAACACATGCATAGGCGAGTGCACGGTATTCCACTTCAGCACTAGAGTGTGAAACCGTACGCTGTTTCTTGGTGCTCCATGAGATTAAATTTTCCCCAAAGAACACGCAATTGCCAGTGGTCGAAAGTCATGTATCGGGGCAACCCGCCCAATCAGCATCCGAATAAGCAATAAGAATAGAGCAATCGGTGGACCGACGAAGTGGCAAGCCATGACCAAGAGTGCCTTTTAGGTATCGAAGAATGCGTTTTATAGCCTCCATGTGAAGATCAGTAGGGGAGCCCATGAACTGGGACACAGACTGGACCGCATATGCAATGTCAAGGTAAGTGAGAGTCAAGTATTGAAGAGTGCCAACCAGTTGCCGATAGATTGAGGGATCAAAGAGAGAAAGACCGATGGTACAGGATAAGGAGCCTTTGGAGGCCATATGGGTGGATGATGGCTTGCATTCTAAGAGGTTACTGCGTTTGAGTAAATCAAGCACGTATTTGTTTTGCGTGAGATGAACATAATTAGACGAATAAGTCACCTCTATACCAAGAAAATAATTGAGTTGCCCAAGATCTGTGAGGTCAAATTCAATACCCAAGATATGGATGAAATCCAAAAGAGATGAGGTATTACTGCTATAATGTCGTCAATATAAAGAAGTAATATCATCATGTTAGAGTTGCTCCGAAAAATAAACATAGAGGAGTCGGCCCAGCATGAAGGAGAAAAGAACTGAGGCGCTGAAACCATGCGCGAGGAGCCTGTTTGAGCCCATAGAGGCCTTTGTGGAGTTTGTAAACATGCTAAGGGCGAGTAGAATCAATAAAGCCAAGGGGCTGCTACATATAGACTGCTTCCGAAATTGTGCCATGAAGAAACGCATTTTTGACGTTTAACTGGATAAGAGGCCAACCAGAGAAGATTGCAATACTGAGGACAGTGCGAATGTTGGTGGGTTTCACAACAAGGCTGTAGGTGTCAAAATAGTCAATTCTGGGTTGTTGATGATAACCCTTGGCCACCGAACGTGCCTTGTAGCATTCAATGCTGCCCTTAGAGTGACGGTTGATTTTGAAAACCCACTTGCAACCCACAACATGAGCAGATTGAGGCAATGGAACCAAGGACCAAGTACCCTGCTTAAGGAGGGCATTAAACTCATTATGCATAGCCTGTTGCCAATGAGAAAATCGAGAAGCCTGAAAGTAGCATGTAGGCTCAAGATCATAATCAACCAAAGAAATATATGCATAAGTAAAAGGATAGCAAACCGAGAAATTGGAGCGAAATTTGGGTTTGAAGATGCCGGATTTTGACTGTGTGTGAACGGGGCTGGTGCGTGTGGAAGGGTGAGTCATGGGCTGTATGAAAGGAGGCTAGGTGTCGGCGGCCGGTGCTGGGGCCAAAGTAGGCGCTGGTGGCTGTGGTTGAATGGGAAGTGGTTGTTGGGTGACGGCGGCTGAAGCTAGTGCCATCTCACCCAAAATAGGCACAGAAGCCGGTGGTGGTGCTGGTCCCAGAGCTCGGGTGAATTTGGGAGGCGATGGAATGTTGTCGACTGGATTAAATAGAGAGACATGAGACGACGGGGTGAGGATGGCAACAGTAGCTGGAGACTCCACATGGGCATGACGTGTAAAAGGAGAATTAGGTTCCATATGGGGCATGGGCCCAGTGTCTATATGAGAGGTAGGAGGCCCCATTGAGCATATCTGACCTTGTGAGAACTGGAACACAAACCAAATTAGAGGCAGGGGTTGTCGTGAGTGCAGGGGCAGAGTAGAGAAAGTTATGCTCGTGAAAGACAATATATCGAGAGGTATAGACATGCCCGGTGGTAGAGTAATAGCAGCAATATCCACAATAATTAGCATTGTAGCTAAGAAAAACACAAGCAAGTGAATGGAGTTCTAACTTGTTAGAAACATAAGCACCAAGATAAGGATAACATGTACACCCAAATGTGCGAATAAGAGAATAATCCGAGTCTGTATGAAACAACCGCCGATAAGGTGTTTCCCATTTGAGAAGTGGGATAGGAAGACGATTGATTAAATAGATAGTGGTGCAAAAAGCTTCAACCCAGAAGGAGTGAGGAAGACGGGTAGTAAGGAGCAAAGTACACCCCATGTCAACAATATGGCGATGTTTGTGCTCTGCTAGGCCATTTTGTTGGGGGAGTATGTGGACAAGAAAAGCAGTGAATGATGCCTTTGGAAGCACAAAATTGTTTTAAAAGACCATTATCAAATTCTTTGCCCTCATCACTTTGAAATTGTTTAACGGGCAACGAAAACTGAGTTTCAACATAGGACACAAAAGTAGAAAAATGATGAAACACTTCCGATTTAAGTCTCATGGGAAAAATCCACGAGAAATGAGTAAAATAATCAGTAAAAAGAACATAATAACGGAAACTTGAAATTGAAGCAACATGAGACATCCAAACATCAGAATGTATTAATTGAAAAGGTTCACAAGAACAATGTTCATGAGATGAAAAGGAGAAACAAACTGATTTTGCTACGGCACAATGGCTACATGAATTATGAGATAATTTAAAATGAGAACCTAACAAGGACTTAGAGATTAAGGTGCTAAGCATTTTATTGGACAGATGAGCCAATCGGCGATGCTAAAGAGACGATGAGACGATGGAGGAAAAAGCTGACTTTAAAAAGTAAATATTTCCCGAATGGTGATTTTCTCCTGGTTGGGAAGGGGGCTAAGTCGTCTTGGGCTTGGTCTAGCTTGCTGGTAGGAAGGAATATAATCATGAGAGGTGCTAGGTGGCAGGTTCTTGATGGTAGCCGTGTTAATATTTGGACTGATAAGTGTATCCCTGGGTGTTCTGAGCATGCTCTGTAATCAAGCCATCACAGCCAAGTGGATTTGGAGGCAAAGGTTGAGACTATTATTGACTGTCAATCTTGTGAATGGAACTTGGAAGCTATTGGTGGTATGTTTTCACCAAATAACGCAAAAATTATCAGAGCCATGCCTTTGGGTGATGGTTGGGAGAAGGACAGGCTTATCTAGCCTCTAAACCAGATGGGTAGTTACACTGTCAAATCTGGCTATAACATGATACACATGGCTCACCTTGAGACTCCGGTCAGGCCATCCAGCTCAAGAGTTTTAGATAATGCTCTATGGAAGCTGATTTGGGGCTCTCAGATGGTCCCAAAGTTAATGAATTTTTGGTGGAGAATGGTTAGGGGCTGCCTGCTAACAAGGGATGCTTTGTTCAGGAGACACCTTGGCACCTCCCCATTATGCCCTATTTGTGGGGAGTTTTCGGAGTCCGTTGAGCATCTTTTCCTCCTCTGTAATTGGGTCCAACCCGTATGGTTTGGAGGTCCTTTGAACTACAGGATAAACAGGCAGAGTATTACTTCTATGAGCGAATAGATGATGCAAATTTTGAAGATTTCGTAGGGTTTGGGATATGATCAGAAGTGGCTAATTTCCCAAATCGTTTACACTTGCTGGAGTATCTGGAAGAGCCTTTGCTCTGCAGTTTTTGATGATATTAGTGTGTGCCCTCGCCGTACTTTGCTGGTGGCCAAAAATTTGATCAATGACTTCAATCTTGTGCGGTGTCCTCCTGGGGATGTGATTTTGGAGGAGGATATTGATGTTGGTCATAGGGTGGTTAGATGGTCCCCCCCCTCCCACTTATATTTACAAAGTAAATATTGATGCATCTTGGGTTAGTAGTACTCAGCAAGCTGATCTGGGAGTTGTAGTGAGAAATTCTGCTGGCAACTTTATGGGTGGTTGCTGCGTTACTAGACTTGCTTCTTCGGCAATTGAGGCTGAAGCCCATGCTGCTTTAAAGGGGGTCAAGCTGGCTACTGAAATGGGGTTTCCAAACGTGGTCTTTGAATTTGACTCAAAGAAACTCGTTCAATCAGTTAAAGGAAATATTTTGAAAGGTAGGTGGATGATTAATACTATCCTATCAGCTATTCGACGACAATGTAGCAGTTTTATTTCTTGTTCTTGGCACTGGGTCCCTCGAAGGGCAAATCGAGCAATGGATGCTGCAGCTCAGCGAGCTAGGAGGAGGATGTGCGATGAAGTTTGGGCTTCCGGCCCCCCATCCTCTCTGGTTTTTGTGTTGCAAGCTGACGGACTTCCTTGCCCCCCGTGGTGCTAGGGCGTCTGTGCTAGAGGCGGACGGGCTCCCCTTTTGCAGGCGTCATAGTTACTGGTCTCTAGCCTTTGTTCTTCTAGTTGTTGTGAGCTTTTTGTGCTGTTGTTGTTGTTCTTCCTTTTCTTTCTGTCTTTAGCTTTGTCTGTTTCTCCCCTTTGTTGTCTTTCTTTCATTTGAATGAAAGCTTCCATTGACCAAAGAAAAAAATTACAAGGATATTTGGTTGTCAATTTTTTATTATTATAAAGTTTTTAGTCTTTCAAAATTGCAACTCCGCTAAAAAGTTCATGGATCCGCCAATGTATATGTTGCTTGTTTGTTACAAATCTTTTATTATAAAGCTTTTAGACAACATTGAAAAAATCAACTTAATTTATAACATGTGTAAAAAAAATTAAAAAAATTAAAAAAAAAAAGTTTATTAGTTTTTCATACATCTATATATATAAAGCAAAAGGCAGAGAATAGTGAAACATTCAAAATACCAGAAAATGCCCTTGGTTAATTCAAACATTAAGAATTTAAATTATTAATTAAATGATGACAATATGGTAAATTCACATTTTTTATATTAAAAAA